ATGTAGACTACCGCACCGCCTGAGATACACACACAGCGCCGAATATACCAGAGACGCGGCAGATGTGCGGTATGATAATTCCATTGGCGATCCCTAAACAGCTACGGCAACAGCAGCCAGTCCCACAGCAGCCACTACAGCACCCATTACAGAATCCAGAGGATGACGACACGTCAGCACCACGCGGCGGAAATGCAGAAAACAACAATGCGACAGAGCGAACAGCTGACGGTGAAGGTACAGGTGGCGTTGACAGGTGGCCAAACGCGAGGGGTGGCAGCGCTGCCACCCAGCTGCTACACATCTGCCGTTCGATTATGGCGCGGTGAAGGAAAATTCGAAAACACCACCGATCGGGCCGTTCGACCCCTTGGGGAAAGGGGGAGGTGTAACGACGCGTTGCGCAGCAACCAGCTGTGCGTCATTACGATGCCAAGTAGTTGTAAGTTAATAAGTAATTGTAAGAATAGTAAGCCATGAAGGCGGGTAATTTTAAGTTCGTTTTAGTTAGTTCTTCTTTTGGTCCCGCCCAACACGCACTGAAGCACGGGCTGCATTTTGGATTATTTGTAATAAAACACGTGGAGAAGTTTTGGCATACCGCTCTCTTTTATTTGTTGGACACCTCGGCACTTTGGGGTCTGTAATGTCACAGGCGGCAAAACATTCCACTCCAGAAATCACAGCCTATAAACTTTACAAAAGCAGTCGTGTTCCAGGGCATATTGAAGACCTGCTTCGAAATAAGAGAAGGCTTCGGCGGGAGTGGCAAGCGCACAGATCACCTGACTCAAAGGATCGGTTAAAAATAGCTAAAATAGCCAATCTACTACGCAAAGCTCTAGAAGATGAGAAACACCGAGCTCAAATGGACTATATGGAGCAAATCTCCCCAAACAGCAAACGATTCGCATTGTGAAAAGCTAAATCAGGCTTATGTCCACCAATCGAGAGTGAATCACCATTACGTTCACAAAGAGGAAAGTGGGTCGAAGCAACGCAGAGAAGTCTTCAAACCACATCCAGCAACAACTCGCTTTGTGCTCCCACTAACCAATCATCCTGAATCCACCACGCTTATCGTATTCCGTATCGCCATGTTTCAAAGCAAAAAAAAAGCGCCGGGCCACGATTAAATTTCCCCTAAAATGAATTGCCGAGCTGTGCAGTATATTTTCTCACCATCATTTTCAACAGCATGATGAAATGGGGCTATTATCCTCAACAATGGAGAAAATTTGTCATCACAATGATCCATAAAGACGGTAAGGACAAGTTCCAGCATCATCATATAGACCTATCAGTCTCCTGCCGTTCCTATCGAAGATATTCGAAAAACTACTCCTGAATCCATCAAACAGCACCCACATACAAACAGTGCAATCCCAAATCACCAATTTGGTTTTCGCGAAAAACATGGAACCATTGAACAAGTCAACCGAATAACATCTGAAATACGAAATGCATACTGGATGGCTTAATTCACAAAATCAAAATAATACATCCACAGAATATCCATAAAATACTGGAATCATACCTACAGCAAAGAAGTTTCGCAGTTAGATGCAAAGATTTCCTCTCCGAATACCATCCAATTGAAGCTGGTGTACCCCAAGGAAACGTTGCTGATGATACTGCCATCCTAAGTCGTTCCAAGTGCCCAACAAGAGCTACAGAACTCTTATCATCTCACCTCGTGGCCATAGAAGAATGGCAAGCAGACTGGCACATACATACATACCTTTATCCTAAACAAACAAATCTGTCCTCCATTATCGCTAAACAACATCAATATTCCACAAAAAAAACGATGTAACTTACCTTGGTGTCCATTTGGATAGACGGCTTACTTGGCGGAAATACATCGAAGCGAAGAGATATCAACTTAAACTAAAAGCTATTCATCTAAATTGGCTTATAAACGTCCGTTCACCACTAAAACTGAAGTACAAAGTACTCTTGTACAATGCAGTTGTTGGCTTGGCGGAGATCACGAACTTCTTAGAGCAACCGAAATAAATATAACACTGCTGCGTATCGTTTTAAAGAAGTTTATTTAACTATAACTGATACTGATATAATATAAGCAATGAAATAAAGCTGCGGAGCTGCAGAAGGCGGAGCTTAAAAAACTTTTCGTGTGTCTACTCCGCTTGTGTTCAACCAAATGACTATTTGCTTGCTAGTGAGGGTTCGTTATACAATAAGTATGGAGTGACAATATATCGATATTACGATTAGTATACAATGTATATATTAACAAATTAATAGTGTTGGAATATTTTTAACTGTTTTCAATTTGAAAATATGATTTAGGCGGCAACATTCCCCACCTCGTAATTGATCCGCGGATCAGTTACCATTCTCGCCGTCGACATCTAACACGGCTACCTTTGTTGCTGGTCGCTCCATAACGCCATGTTGGGTTTGGACTGTCACTCGCCGGACTTGTCCGTCCTTGGCCATTACTGCGTCGATGACACGCCCTTTTGGCCAGAGATTCCTTGGTAAGGTGTCATCCACGATGATAACTATGCTGCCAACTCTAATGGGGGAACACTTGTGAAACCACTTAGTGCGCCTGGTGAGTACCGGTATGTACTCCTTTAGCCAGCGTTGCCAAAAGCGATCTCCAAATAGTTTAACTTGATGCCAGCGCTGCTTTAGGTTTATAGACGCTGCTGAAAATGGCTTGTAACCATTTGATGCACCCAATAAAAAATCATTTGGAGTGATTGCGGTGTCATCTGCCAAGTCCAGACTCACGAACGTAAGCGGGCGTGAGTTTATGATGAATTGTGCATCCAAAAGTGCACTTCGAAGACTCTCGTCGTTAAAGGAATAACTTGGCCAGATGCTTTTCAGGACAGCCTTTGTGGATCGCACGAGATGCTCCCATGCGCCTCCCATATGTGGAGCTGATGGTGGGTTAAAGCGCCACTCGATGCTTTCATACTTGACTGCTATTTTGTCAAAGTCGATGCTGACGAGTTCATCTCAAACGCCCTTTTCTGTCGATTTAAAATTAGTGCCGTTATCGGAGTAAATTTCCCTTGGAGTACCACGAGTATTCATGAAGTTTGCCAGACACATCAAACATGAGTTGGTGTCCAGGCTGTGCGCAATCTCGAAGTGTACAGCACGCAAAGTCAGGCACGTAAATAATACACCCCATATTTTCTCTTTACGCCTTCCAACGTTTACCAGTAATGGTCCAAAGTAGTCAACGCCTGTAAAGGTAAACGGTATTTCAAAACTGCCAAACCTTTCTTTAGGTATCGGAGCCATCTGTGGAGGAGTTGGTGTAGCTGTTGTAATCTTGCACTGTTGACATTTTTTCCGAATGCTTTTGTACAGGACACGTAGACGTAAAATGGAAAATGTTTATCTTATATCGTTTATGACGGTTTCGTGCGCGAGATAATGATACTTTTCGTGATAGCTTCGCGCCACCAGGAAGGAAATGTAACTCTCTGGTGGTAGGACTATTGGGTCTTTTACCGGGTCAATTGTATTTGCTCTTCCTTGAACTCTTAAAATTTGATCGTCGTCAAGGTAAACATTTAGGCCGATCAGTTTGCTTTGTCGACGAATAAAACGATTTGCGGTTAATGCTTCCACTTCGGCTGTGTACATTTGCGCTTGGTCTTGCTTGTATAGCAGAATTTTTGCTTTTTTAATGTGCGATGACGTTACCATATGGGGCTTAGGGCGGTTGCCGCACAGCTCACAAAGCCGTTCAATATATAACAGAAATGTAGCCAGGGCTTTGAATAATCGCCGCCAGTCGGAAAAATAGTCCACATTAAAGGCGACTACATTAGCTTTATGCACCATCAGAACGTGTTTACGAAGCTCATCTACTTTATCGGCTTTAACAGGTGGCTGGTAAGTTTTCGGCCAGTCGGTGTTTGGCATCTTCATGAAATCTGGTCCCTTTAACCATTGCTTTAGCTGAGGACTGCTGATTACTTTTATTGCTCCATTTGCGACGTTAAGTTTTGTAGGTACCGAGTATTCTAGGATTTCTCCAACTCGATGCATAACAAATTGTTGAAAGTTACGAGGGTCCATGACCAGCCATTGTAGAACGGTTTTTGAGTCTGTCCAGTACGTAGCGCTATCAATGCAGAGACCGCGAACTCCCACGATTTTCTGTGCCAAGCGTAAAAATGAACTGAAACATGTGATTAGACGGCTGCCAATACATACCAAGCACCTTTTCGGTAGAACCGAAATGCACGGATGTGCTGCTTGATTTGCCATCGCTCAGGAACTTTTGTAAGACTTCTACGGAATTCGATGACCAGTTACGTAGTTCGAAACCACCATTTGCGTGAACTCGCTGCACCTGAGTTGCCACCTCAATTGCTTCTTTGTCTCTGCTCATGCTGTCAATAAAGTCATCCATGTAATGCGCCTCTGTGATGGCTTCGTAAGCTCGTGGAAACTCGTTCCGATGATATTCAGCATTTTTGTTGCAGGGCGCGCAACTAATCCCAAAGGTCATAGCTCGCATGACGTATACGCTCATCTTGTTGCTGCTTTGATCGTACCAAAGAAAACGTTGCGTATTCATATCCTCTTCGCGTATGTTAATCCTGTGGAACATCACTGCAATGTCAGCGCAAACTGCAACTTTACCAACTCTGAAGGCTAATAGTACATCAATGAGTGGTTTTAAGCGATCTGGTCCACTAAGTAGGAAATCATTTAACGATGCACCACGTAACTTGGCCGCTGCATCCCAGACGAGTCTAATTTTGTTTGGATTTAGAGTGATGGATATAGGCAAGTACCAAATGTATTTATTCTTCCCATCAGCTGCTGCATTCGTTAATCGAATCGCATAACCTTTTTCCAAAAGATTTCTAACTTGGGTATTTATTTTTGTGTAAAGTTCTGGCTCGTTGCTTATCCTCTTTTTCAAACAGTTTAGCCGTTTTAGCGCCTTTGAATAACTTTCTGGCAGCTCTTCAGTTGCATTACACCACAAGAGTCCAACTTCATATTGTCCATTCTTCTTTTGGCATGTTTGGTCGTTTGTCGTCCTTTGATTGTAAATTTCGAGGCAAGATATTGTCAAGATTGAAACTTTCTTTGACTTCGTCGTGAAGTTCTTGCCATTTGCAATCACAATGATGCATGGATACGAATCGCTGTGAGGTTGTTGAGCCTTGGGTGCTCCAGCCCAAGAAACATTTCGATGCAATGGGTTCATTCCACTTACCCTCACGGGTCATGCGAGGAACGGCAATTTTCCAATTATTCGTCCCAATTAGTAGCATTGGTTGAATGTTGTAGTATGACTGTAGTGGGATATCCTTGAGGTGGTTATATTCACCACGCAGCTCATCTACGTTTACAGTTTGCTTTGGAAGTCCAAGATTTGGTATAGTTTGGACATTGTTAAGCCAGTAAAGCTTGTTTGAATTAACGGCGGATACTTGTATAGAAGCCCGCACGGATGTACTCTCTACTCGTTGTGTATCGCTAAACATTGCTTCGTCTATTAGGGTCACTGAGGGGCCTTCATCTAAAAATGCAAAGACTTTGATTATTTTGCCCTTTGCATGTAGGTTTACAGGTAAGATACGGAAAAGCTGGCTGCGTGTATCTTCGTCTCGGTGAGTGCTGACAATTTCTTTTTTCTCCGATTTGTTTGTTTCTCGATTTACACTTTCTGGGTGCAGTAAAGGATGGTGTTTCTTGGTACAACCATCGGTGCCACATTCCTTTCGCGAGAAACAGCCTTTGTGATGATTCTTAATGCATCTATAGCAGGCGTTGCCATTTTTTACAACCTTCAACCTTTGCTCCACCGATCTGCTTAAAAATTTGTCGCATTAAAGTACCACATGATTGTCTTCGCCGCATGATATGCATTTATTCTTGCGTTCCTATGTTGACGATGCATGATCGAATTGTGCTTTGATGTAAACCTTTTCTGTGACATAGCTGTTATGCGTATTGACAGAGCTTGTCTTGTGTGCCATAGGTGAAACCACAGTTGAAGCTGCTTCTGCTATGCGATATAACCAGTCACTAAATGCCTTAATTGAGGGTGTAGACTCGTCACGAGGATGCACAGCCCAAGAAAGCTTATGCTGGTTCGGTAATTTATCGACGAGCTCTCTCACCAGTACTGGGTTATGGAGATGCGCCTCATGCTTGCATGTTTCCATCGTAGCACACACGTTCCATACGGCCAGCGCGAACTCTATTAAGATTCTAATTTATCTTTAGGTGGCGGTAATTTTTTCACCTATTATGAACATAGGCCAATCTTTGGGATCGCCACTAAAGGCAGGTAAATCCTTTGGTATTGATTGCTTGGCAGCAATTTGTGTACTCGTTGGAGTCATTGTAGCAATTTGCATTATGCCCATAGAGCCACTTATGTTGCAACCATCTGGCTGGTTCATTTGTGCCAAGAGCTTATATTTTTCCTCAATGAATTTCTGATCAACGATCCTTTTTTCCTCTAGCATTGCAAACATTAACTGATTTTGAGTGTTTGGTGACGAATTAACGGCGATCGATGTATCTGTTGAAATGGCTTGTGCGTTTGGTATTTAATAATTTATCACACGTTGCGCCTGTATTTAGCAATTCGCTGTGCTGATCCTCGGGAGGTGCAGCCATTTGCTTCTCGTTAGCCACTAACATAGTGGCCAGTCAGGAAGACTATGCACGGCAATGTCTCGTCTTGGGGTATGTTGTACTAGAGTGTGCTGAATTACACAAGAACTATTTGTTTGACACTCAATACAATTCCAAGAACACTGATTTACGATTTCATCGACTCCAGCGCATTCAAAATGATACCAACAATTGCAAAAGTCACACTGGACCCAATTTGTTAGGATTTCATATTACGTTATGTTCATATCTAGCGTTTTCTCTTTAGTAAACCGACCTAGAATATTCTTGTCGCTACGCGCTTGTATGTATGCAGACGCCAACCAAAGAAACGTTACATTCCGATCAAATACACACGACGCGTCAGGATGTCGCCACTTTTAATGTGTGTATATGATATTACTCGTTGCTCGTTGCACTTTTGTATGTATGTGCGACCCGAGTGAGTATTGGTTATTCACTTATGTATATTGGCATTTGTTCATTACTCGGTCTTTGTATATTGCGTATAAGCGAATATTAAGCTGTCTCCTTTGCAGTTATCTTCACCTTTATTTTTCACAAGTATGAAGACGATCACCATATTTGGCGTCGTTGCAAACAAAGCACAGTTCCGAGAATGCAATCCAATTAACCAGAAAAGTTTTTTAAGAATGTTGGATTGACTGATATCACGAACTTCTTAGAGCAACCGAAATAAATATAACACTGCTGCGTATCGTTTTAAACAAGTTTATTTAACTATAACTGGTACTGATATAATATAAGCAATGAAATAAAGCTGCGGAGCCGCGGAGTGTGGAGCTGCAGAGTGCGGAGCTTAAAAAACTTTTCCTGTGTCTACTCCGCTTGTGTTCAACCAAGTGACTATTTGCTTGCTAGTGAGGGTTCGTTATACAATAAGTATGAAGTGACAATATATCGATATTACGATTAGTATACAATGTATTGGTGTTTAACAAAACAATAGTGTTAGAAGATTTTTAACTATTTTCAATTTGAAAATATGATTTTGGCAGCAACAGCAGTTCTCAAACCAATTTGGGCATATGGCTCTGAACTATGGCGAAACACTTCCATTAGTAATTTAGAGTTAATCAAGAGATCTCAATAAAAGATACTTACTAAAAAAATAAAACAAGCGTAAACACATAAGGCATCTTTGTGAAAAATTTTGTGTCCATAGCTCTTATAGTCTCTGAGATCCAGGACGGACAGACAGGGCTAGATCGACTTGTCTTGTCACGCTGATCAAGAATATATATACTTTTTGGGGTCTGCCACGCCTCCTTCTGCCTGTTACATTTTTGAGCTCGCGCAAACCTAATATACTCATGTACATTTCATGTACAGAGTATAATGATTCATTCGACGATACAAAAGCAACAAGAAAGGAATGCTAAAGTCGAGCAGACTCAACCCTTAAATACCCACCCCACAAATTTAATTTAATTAATTCTTTAAATTAAATATAAAATATTCCATGCATGCATACATACATTTACATCAGAATCGTGTCTATGTGCGTTTGTGTACTTGTACATATTTATTGATGCATTACACATTTATGTCAAATCAGCAACAAATACAGGTGCGGACAGAGCTTGGGCTTGGTTGTATGGTTATAACTTTATTTCTAATCGACCTATCATAAGGAAATTTGCCATACGGACAATCACTATCTGAGTGTGACTATCAAATTTTTGTTCAAAATTCGGGAATTACGGGAGTTACAGAACATCGCGAATAGCGGGAGAGTGAGGGGGTGCATCGGAAAAAATGAACAAACTCGTCCTTTCTCGGGCTTAGAAGAATGTGAATACCAAATATGCTTATTCTAGCTCTTACACTTTCTGAGATCCCTGAGTTCATACAGACAGACGGGGCTATATAGACTCGGCTTGTCATCCTGATCAAGAATATATGTATATACTTTGTGGGGTCTGCCACGCCTCCTTCTGTGTGTTCCATGTACACTCGCACAAAACTAATATACCCTTTTACCCTTTGGGTACATGGTATAAAAATATATCGTCCTAGCGCTTTGTTGCCACGACATTGTACAAGTATGTCTTGATATTTTTTATTTGATACTAAAGATCATCTGCGTGTTTTATTTGCACTTTGGGGCTGCTCGAAAGTCAAATATATTGAGGTTATTCTTGGTAGCAGCGATTTGGAGATAAGGCATGCGGACATCCACGGGTGGTGGCTGTCCTCGTTCGTGAAGACAGCCAGGGCAATGACACCGATCTTGCCGGGGGCTTCGCGGAATTGATTTCAGGGCGAGTCGGAGACGACCGAAGTATACTGTCCGGGCTGTCGATGGCTGATGGGACACAGAAGATGGGGTTGGATTATGTCCATAGAGACTACGGTGCGGTGATCGTGAGTTGCCATATACGCGAAAGCTAATGGGAGGTAGGGGGAGCTAATGGGCGGCCAGGCGGGCCTACGCGGCATTGGCTACGATAGCACAGATGGGTGCTCCCATAGCAGCCCACTTGACGGAGGAGCTTTGTGGATTATGAATAAATTTCCACGGGACCCATCGCGCTGGGTCTTGGAGTTGCAGCAGTATACGTTCGACGTCCAGTACTGGAAGGGATATTATATCCCCAGTCATACTGTGCGAGACGACGAACGCCCCGCTTTGCGTCGATGAAAACGGCTACCACATCAAAGTGGCGTGCGCGTCAGCTGCTGCACAGAGGCCTGTTGTACTGGCCGCAGTTGAAGCAGAATAAGATGCACACCATGTTGTGAATAGCACGTACATGCCGCTGCCACATATTCAGCCGACGCATGCTGCCGGTCACCCATCCTCGGCAGCGGTTAGGCATTGTGTTGGCCAATTCTCTTGGAGTTGATGGACTGATTAGTTTCCATTCTGCAATCAAAACATCTTTAAGCTGTTTTATTGTGTACTGCCGACCATTCCTATAAACTTTTGCTAACAGGATTCCCCAGAGGTCTTCAATCAGGTTTGAGTCCGGGCTTAGCGCTGGCCACTCTAGAACAAGTATATTTCATAAAGATAGAAATGCCATACAGAAATGCCATCTCCCGCATTTTCAATAAGTTCACTTTCCAAAAGCTGTACATATATTGCCGATTTGGTTTTAGTTAAAATAAAACCAATCCAGGACTTTCCACTGAGGTTCCGCTTTTGACGGGTTTGCCGAGGTGGCCTGAAATTGCTGCAATATTTATAGCAACCGTCTGGGCTGTCTAAGATAAGTTTTTTTCTCGTCGGAAATAATAATATTAAGAAATTTATTATTATTTATTATTAACGACCCGACGGAAGTAGAAGTAGCTTAGTAAAGTATGTGACGCCTTCGAGCTAATGCATTGAGACAAAGACTGGCCCGTCAACGAGTCACCGACACATTCAGAACACGTGAACAACAGCGTTTGCAAGTGCATCAAGCACCTGCACGCGCAAATATTTAAACATGTTCATGCATTTTTATACGGTATACTCGGGTAAAACCCCCGCAATACTCGAGACATACTCGAGTAATACCCGAGTACAACTCGCGCAATACCCAAACAATACTGAAGCAATAACTGTATCAAATGCTCATTCTCGAAAGTCTGGTTTGTTTCGATCAGGTCCCAGTCATTTTAAACGAAGTTACCGAGCCTGAAATGTTTGAAAGCAAACCAATCAAGGTCGGTACCCGTTCGCAACGAACAGAATACTCGAAGTGACCGCTTTTTTAACCAAATTTTTTCATTGAGGCTTTATTGGAGCACGAAGAAATATTGTATATATTTATGTGTGTGTATGTGCAATCAACGCACAGCACAAATGGCAAGCGTAGAAGCTTACTAAGAAGTTGTTTTAGAATATTAGAAATCCGATCAGCTTTAAACTTGGTTTATTTACTCTGAGAAAGAATAAACATAAACTGCGTTGTATTTTTGTAACTTTTCATTAAAAAGTAGAAGAAATAAAGTATAGTATTTATTGTACTTTATGTCCTAGGTCTCGAATCGCACCAAAGTAATTAGCTATTTGAGAAATGAACTCTTTAGAAACTTTAGAGTGTCGGAAGAGAAATATTATATAGTAAACTAGCAGGTATTGCCCGTCTTAACCCGGCTCAATGTTTCCAATTGTATTTATTTTGTGTGTGCATAACCTACCCATATGTTTTCACCTTAAAGGTTACCAGTAGGAAGGCATTTAAGGTATTTAAATGAACATTTTCTGTTCTTGACAAAAAATTGTTCAGTAGTCCGTTACATTTTTGTTCTTGACAAACTATTTCGTTAAACGAACATGACCACTATAACTAATATTTTTTAAAGCTCGTTTTCCCCCCGATGGAGCTAGAATTTTCCAAAAGCCTTTCTTAGTGTGCTCCTACACTATGATGGATACTATGAAATGATACTTGAGTCCAAATTTAAATTCACAATTGAGTCTTTTCGTGCCATATTGAGTCAATACGGCCACGCACACCTCGGAATATGAAACACGGCACTCGTGTCAATGCCGTGCAGCGATGAGCCACGATCAAAAAGCACTGGCACCGATACCATCAAAATATCGAAGTTTGAATGCAATAAGCAAAATATTTAAATAATGAAATCGAATTATTTATTGAGATAAATAAGAACAAATCATATACATACATACATACATCTGCCCGCAATGCGAAGCAGAATATGCGTAGGTCCGTTATTCGGTTTCTGCTTTACTATCGCTTACGCAGTCGTTGCCTAGCGACGGTAACTGTAACATTTTGGCGTTTTGCCTTTGCAATTAACATTAAATGGTGAAAACGAAAGAAGAAGAGCGAGCTAATGACTTGCAGTTGTTGTTGTTTTTAGAGCATTATTTTTTTTTACAATCAAACATAGACACGAACTGTTGCTTGTTGTGTGTGAGTGTGTGTATGTGATGTCCCCAACTATTTGATATTTGTTGTTACTGCATAAAGTTATTAATGAAAACACTAATGCCAAATGCACTAAACAAAGAAAAAATTACTATTAAAAATGTTATATAATTTTCAATTAATTAACATTTCTTGCTCTGTCAGTGCAAGACGAATGTACATACATACATATGTAGATACATATGTACATACATAGATGTGCACATACATATGTATCTATTTACATTCACACATTAGTGTCTCACATTTTGCTTTGGCTATTTCAATCGTTTGCACGCAACTACACGAACAGCTGTTTGTATGTGTGTGTGTGTGTATGTATACTTAGTTGTCCCCAACTGTTTGATATTTTGTATTGTTTGTTCTGCCTGCTTTTGTAAAATGCATATTTTGAAAATCCTTGAATGCAAAGTTGTAGATTTAGTTACGTAGATTACATTATCCAAATTTTAAATAGATCGGACTAAATTTATAACACAAACTTTTCATTTGAAATAGTGAATAAATATTAAAACCCCAATAGTTCAAGCTCCAACAAATTTCGAAAATCCGACTATGCAGTTTTGTTTGTATTCTTTAATTGATTTTAGAAACTAAGTTTTAAGTCGATCGGTTGAAAAATGCGGATTTTTCAAACAAACTTTGGAGCTACTTTTCCCCTCTTTGGAGCTCGAATTTTCCAAAATCCCTTCCTAGTGCGCATCTACACCCTGATAGGATACTTGAGCCCAAATTTCAGCTTTCTAGCTCTTACCGTTTGGGCTGTGGGCTGTTGACGCGGTTTCCTTTTGTGCCCCAACATTTTTTTTACAGGAAAACTCCCATATTTTAAGCCCCAAAAAAAATATCAAAAAACCAAGTATACAGTTTTTCTTGGAATTGTTCTGAGAGTATACAAACTAAGTTTAAAGTTAATCAGATGAAAACTGTAGATTTTTCATACAAACGTTGGAGCCTGTTTCCCCCCTTTGGAGCTCGAGTTTTCCAAAATCCCTTCTTAGTGGACCTAGACTGTGAAAGGATACTTGAGTCCAAATTTCAGCTTCCTAGCCTTTACCGTTTGGGCTGTGCGTTGATCACCAATCAGTCAGTCAGGACAAACTGTTTTATATATATAGATAAACCTTTAATTATAAGCACAAATACTGATCCCAACACAGACCTCCTAGTATGTATATAACTTCAAAAATGTTGTGGCTAAAAATAATGATGTAATTACGGGATATCTCAACTTAGGGCGAAGGTTCCCTCTTCTGTCGCCGCTGTGATATAAGGTGTTTCCAACGATTTCTGCTGTACAGACACATTAAAGTTTTGTTGATGTTGCTGTGGTGGCTGAGAAAAAACATTTGCGGTCGTATTTGTAAATTGGCTCTGTTCTTGCTTAAGTGGCTCGCGTTCCTGGCTCAATTGCATTGGCGATTTTACATAGTTTATTGGAATTATGCCCGAGGTTTGGCCATTTGTGGTAGCCAAGGCCCAACCTGTGTTTAGAAGTCCCAATGTCTGTTGTATTTCACGTGGTGCGACCTGCACAGCTTGACCAGAGCGCATTGAAAGCTCGCTTGGGGTACGTGATTGAAAATCGTACATGGCTTCAGTCTGTATAGGAGCGGTCCACCTAGAAGGATTGCGTGCTGATTGGGGTAGATAGATGTCACAATTTAATAAATAAAAAAAAATATGGCCGCTTTATTTATCTTATGGCATTGTGTCATTTCAGTTACAAAGTCTAATGCCAGATTAGATAAAGATTCAGTGTGTAAATGATACACATACATACCTTCTTCTTGTGCTGTATTTGTAACTGTCCCAATCAGCTTTATGACGAAATACGGTGCAGTAAGTATGAAACTGAGAAACGCCAGCACAGGCCAGGGTGATGGTGTTTTCACAATATTCGATTCCATTTGTTGGGATTTTGTTTTGTTAAAGGCGTCGTCAAATGCTTTTTTAAATACTTTCGAGGATGGGTCGCAGTTCGAAAGGCGCAGCCAAAAACTAATTCTACGAAAGGAGTTTGAATAGTATGTACATATTATATATTTGCATTTCCCGTAAAAAAAATATACCTGACTCACTTTCTGTAAATCCAATTAAGGGCGCGAAATATCGCAAGCGTGGACCAGAACTGCGCAAAGACGCCACGCAGCCGTTCAAAGTTTGCCGCCACACCAAGAATAGCACGAAACGAACTTGTTAACGCAAAAAACGTGGAATCTAGCATAGAAGCTATATTTCCTATGGTCGAGACCAATGACTCAATGCTTTGAAATGCCGGACGTGAACTTGCTTCAGCAAGTTGTATGAAACGTTGCTCAAAATTGTTTGAAATTACATTTGCGCTACCTAATCTGTTGTATCCAAAAGAACCGTAACCTCCATGACTTCCATATCCACAGCCCAGACCACCGTAATTGCTGTGGCCGTACCCTAAATTAGCGGATCCATAAATTCCATAGCCGTATCTATCGTACCCGTTACCGAGCTCATTTATTGATTGGGGTAGTGGGGGCGGTAATATAGGCAAGGAGCGTATATTTCCTACATGGGGTGTCCGTAGTACATCTGGTGCGCTGCTTAAGCCACCGGACAGCCCGAAACTGTAACCTGAAGGCAGCAAAGGCGATTCGCTGATAACGGCACTGCGCAGATTGCTGTTGTCAACCATGTTGATATTGACAACTAACTGCTCCGGAATTGGACTTTGGCACAAGATAACTGTAGCACTTAATAATTTAAAATAAATAATTTTGCATTTTTGTTTAACAATACTACAATCACTTGTTATTTCGTAATGGGCACTGTCAACAGTAAATGCAATTTAGAAATTGATTTGTCGCTTCAGCAGATTTCCACCCTCCAATCGTCAACAAGCATAAGACCTCTTTCGGTATGGACTGCACTAGTGCTGGACGTAACATCGATGTATTGTAAATTCTTTCAACATCGATCTTTTCCCCGATGTTCGATATTTTTTACTGGAAAAAAAATCGCCAAAAAAGGTAGGTAGCAAAAGGTATTAATTGGAGAATGATAGCTATCGATAGTAGAATTCATCGATGTTTGTGACAACTTTGTATGAATCCGTCGATACTATCGATGGTTCCATCGAAGTTTGAATACATCTTTTTATATTTTCGAACTTCCCCACCAAACCAGCTGTGAGACACAGCTGACTGTCGACGCTCACATTTGTCTGACTAATTCTGTAAAAATCCTGTAACAAACTCAACTGTCAGCAATAGCTGACTGTCGACGAGCATATTTGACCGACTAACTGTGTTTAAATTCTGTAACGCTCTAAGTTAAATAAAAAACAAATGTGCCATTTTCAAGAATTTGCAGAAACGCCAACTAATTGTTTAGAAAATATAACGCGAATGTTTGAGAAGCGCATCTGATCCCATTTACGAATTATATTGCTTTTTAAAAATAAAATTTATTTGTAACATTTTTTATATCATTTGGAATTCTACACGATATCCATAAATTGGTCTAATATTGCGTACTGTTGTGACGATCAGTGTTTTACTTTTACTACAAAAAACTAGCTTTTGAATTTTAATTCAGAAAGTACAAAAATGTACTTATGTATTTTTTATGTTGGTAAAGCCTTTTGTTATCTGTTTTGACGCTGAAGCATGTTTATCTTGAAAACTAAAGTATTCTTTGGGAATAATTAAGCTATATATGAAAGCCAAGCTTTTCAAATAATAATATGCTCACACCTATTATTCTTTCCAGGTGTGTACATTTTGTTTCCCTGGTCCGTATTGTTTATTTAAATGGCAGCTTATTACCATTCACATTTTCGATAACACACAGATCTGCCCAATCGGCGACACAAATTTTCGCCAAATTTGTTTAATTAATAGAGAGTTATGAGGTGCTCATTTGTAAGAAGAATTGCGTCAATTATATATTTTATTTTTAGCTTTCGTTTGATTGAAAACTTTAGACTTAATTCAGCAAAATGTAATGTTCCATTTGGGTCAATAGGGCATATCTATTGTGCTGTTGTTTTGGATGCCGTGTGTGAATGCTAGTGTTTTAAATATGAATTTAATAATTTGCTAATTTAATAATATTTACGTAGGATACGCAAAATTCCAATGAATATTTATAGCCTGTACCCAAAGGGCGAAAGGCTATACTAGTTTTGTGCGCATGTATGTAACACACAGAAGGAGGCGTGGCAGACCCCACAAAGTATATACATATGTATATTCTTGATCAGGGTGACCAGCCGAGTCGATATAGACATGTCCGTGTGTCCGTCCGTCTGTATGAGCGCAAGGATCTCAGGAAGTACAAGAGCTAGAATAACTAAACTTGGTATCGAGGTTCCCCTAAGTCCTAGGCAGGTCAAGTTAATTTTTTTTATTTTGATACACCCCCCTACTCCCCGCAATTCCTGTTTTTTTTTTTATAAATTTCGTAATTCTTGGAATTTTGAAATTAATTTTGGTAGGTATATCCAGTTAGTACTAATGTGTGTCCCATGTTTCATCATGATAGGTCAATTGTGAAGAAAGTTATAGCCATAAATAAAACCGGTGCTCATGCACTGCCTGCAGCTCTACCGGCAGCGCTGCCCGCAGCTGTTGTTGTTGTTGCTGCTTTTGTTCAACTTTGTGCTACATACATACACGCATATAAACACGCATACGCACGTGATGTAAATGTATGCTGTTAAAACTGAACATAATTGAATTAAATTACTTAATTAATTAATTCACTTTCTTAATAATTTAATTTAAATATTTTTTTTTTAGTTTACTCTTTTGTGGAGAGTACAGACTATTTAACTGTCGGGCTTGCTCGACAGTAGCGTTCTCTCTTGTTATTATTAAATTTGTTTGTGAATTTTATTATCTTGCAGTCTTATTTGTTAGCGTGTATTTTTGTCATACATACATATGTATGTATACATGTACATCTATATATATAAAACAGTTTGTCCTGACTGACTGACTGATTGATTGGTGATCAACGCACAGCCCAAACGGTAAAGGCTAGGAAGCTGAAATTTGGACTCAAGTATCCTTTCATAGTCTAGGTCCCCACTAAGAAGGGATTTTGGAAAACTCGAGCTCCAAAGGGGGGAAAACAGGCTCCAACGTTTGTATGATAAATCTACAGTTGTCATCTGATTAACTTCAAACTTAGTTTGTATACTCCAATTCCAAGAAAAACTGTATACTTGGTTTTTTGATATTTTTTTTGGGGCCTAAAATATGGGAGTTTTCCTGTAAAAAAAATGTTGGGTCACAAAAGCAAACCGCGTCAACAGCCCACAGCCCACAGCCCACACGGTAAAAGCTAGGATGCTGAAATTTGGGCTCAAGTATCCTATCATGGTGTAGATGAGCACTAAGAAGGGATTTTGGAAAATTCGAGCTCCAAAGGGGGGAAAATTAGCTCCAAAGTTTGTTTGAGAAATCCGCATTTTTCAATCGATCGACTTAAAACTTAGTTTCTAAAATCAGTTAAAGAATGCGAAGAAAACTGCATACTCGGTTTTTTAAATTTTTTGTTGGAGCTTGAATTATTGGGGTTTTCTTGGGGCACAAAAGCAAACCGCGTCAACAGCCCACAGCCCACACCCTAAAAGCTAGGATGCTGAAATTTGGGCTCAAGTATCCTATCATGGTGTAGATGAGCACTAAGAAGGGATTTTGGAAAATTCGAGCTGCAAAGGGGGGAAAAGTAGCTCCAAAGTTTGTTTGAAAAATCCGCATTTTTCAACCGATCGACTTAAAACTTAGTTTCTAAAATCAATATCAATACAAACAAAACTGCATACTTAGATTTTCTCGTGCGCAAGAAGACGCATACCTCATTCCGAGAATCCAACATATTCTCGAACAGCTACGACAGGCAAAGTACATCAGCAGCATCGACTTTCGAAATGGATACTGGCAGATCCCCATAGAGCGAGATATACTGCATTCACAGTGCCGGGCGGGGCCTTTCCCAATGGCGAGTGATGTCATTTGGCTTGCATTCGGCCCCAGCCACTTTCCAGCGGGCGCTATATAGCGTCATCGCCACAGATATGTCACCACAGGCATTTGCCTTTCTGGATGACATAGTCGTGGTGAGAAAGACATTTGAAGAGCACCTATACAACCTGAGGAAGGTGTTCCAAAGACTGAGAGCGGCAAATCTACGGGTAAACCAAAATAAGTGTGAGTTTTTTCGCAGGTCCATACTGGGGCATCTGGTGACAGAAGACGGGATACAGACGGATCCAGAAAAGGTGGCAGCTATACGTGAGTTAACCACCAACCAATTTAAAACAGTTTCGGCAGTACATTGGCATGGCCTCATGGTACCAGCGGTTCGTGCCTAACTTTGCGACGACAGTCGGCCACTCACCGAACTGCTGAAGAAGGGCAAGAGATGGGCATGCGAACAGACGCAACAACACGCGTTCGACAACATCCAGCGGCAACTGATGGAGGTGCCTATTTTGGCTTGTCCCTACTTCAGCCAACGCTTCTGTTTACAGACAGATGCTAGCGTGTACGGGCTGGGCGCAGTTCTGACACAAAACATAGATGGACAGAAACACGTAATATTCTATGCCAGTCGGAAGCTGCAAAAGGCCGAATGGATTTACAGCGCTACAGAAAAATAATGCTTGGCCATTGTGTGGGGCATTCGGAAATTACGACATTACTTGGAGGGATACAATTTCACCGTCTTGACAGACCACCTGGCACTACGCTGGCTGAAATCCATAGAGAGCCTGTTGGGCCGCATTGCGTGGTAGGCACTGGAGTTGCAGCAGTACACGTTTGACATGCAATGCGATGTAGTTGGCAGAGCCCGCGACGAGCCAGAGGCGATAACAACGGGCAAATGGCTTCAGCGCCTGATGACAGCAGTGGTAGAATAGACGCCCATGTGCTAGGAGACGAAGATGTTTCCCCATGGAGGCTGTCCGTATATACGGCCCAGCGGCAGCGAGTGCTAAATGAATGCCATGACGACGCGACGGCAGCAGCGTGGGACGTCCTATGCGCCGACTTTTTGGACCACACCGCGATCCAAAAGGGGCAACGCATATACTCGTAGACAAGTTCAGCAAGTGCTGGTCCCAAACCGCACCGCCACAGCAGCGGCAGGAAAACTGGCGCTGCAATCCGAACTCTGTGGGCACTTTGGCACGCCGAAACAAATTGTCATTGATAATGGCGCCCAGTTCACGAGCCGCACTCTTAAGCAATTTCTTGCGCAGATGGGCATTAAGCAGCAGCTAACAGCGCCATACACGCCACAAGAGTACCCGACGGAGCGCTGCAACAGAACGGTCAAAACCATCATTGCGCAGCTAGCGGATGGCCAGCATGCCAGGTGGGACGAACACCTGACAGAAATCCAGCTGGCAATTAAAACAGCACAATCAGAAGCCACAGGCTGCTCACCAGCGTTTATATTGTTTGGATGTCAGCCAAGACGACCGCATACGCTGTACGGGGAAGATCAGGATGAGAAGCCGCTGTGGCCAAACCTGATGCGCACACAGCGCTGGTGCAATTTGTTGCGCAGATGGAACCAAGGGCTGGCCAGTGAAGACCAATACAACTTGAGGAGGCGCGAATGGCGTCCCCGAATTGGCGATGAAGTTCTGGTCAAATAGCACCACCTGTCCAACGCCGCAGAACAGTTTGCATCAAAGCTAGCTCCACGCTATGACGGGCCTTACACAGTGAAAGCGTTCGTATCACCGGTCATTGTGCGCTTACGGCCAGTAGCAGGAGGCAGGGGCAGAACGACACACGTGCGAGCTGCCGAAGCACAACCGCATTCCAACAGCCTGCCCAGTTCTGCCCAGGTTGAAATTTGAAAATTAATTACAGGCTTACGCCCACGCCCGG